ATAATTACAAATTTAGTTAATACTATTAATATATAACAAAAAAATTAAATTTAATACTAAAATAAATTAATAATAATAATAAGAATGGTTAAATTAAAGTAATAAATTTTCACTAAAGTAATAAATAGTTCAAGCTGAATTTAATGGTCCGTATAATTTTATGGGTTTAACATATAAAGATCAATTTATGTGGACCCGTAGACTGTATAGGTGTCTTAGAAAATGACAATTTATAAACTGCATTTGTTTAAGATGCAAATGACGGTTAAATATGAATATTTACTTTGATCCAGTTTTTCCACTTTTGTTTATGGTGTAAATATGTTGCCAAAATCAATGTAAATTTGTGGATGTCAGAATTTTCATCGACATAAGCGTAAAAGTTTACACTCTTTCTTAAAGCCATGTCGTTCGTACACTTTGATGACCACTTTGAAAAACTCCACCGGAAAAGCAGCTACAATGGTAAAATCCGATCTCAATTATTTTTTATCGATGACTTTTTGCTACACCAGTGGTTTTTACATCAATTTCCTGGAAGGTAAGGGATTTCATAGTCAATTCCTCTATTTTTTTTTTTCTGGAAGAAATCAAAATCATAAACATTAGAAGCTCCAGCAAATGAACGATTGAACTCTCTTCTTCAACAATTGAACTCTGCTTTTGGATAGAAAAAAAGCAAGAGAAAGGATAATGAAATCCAATGGTTGTAGCTGGCAGGACTGAGTGGGTTTTTGAGAATTTCATTCAACAGTCAACACCGATCGTAATGATTCATTTAGATTGCAACTGGAGTCGCTGATCAATTTCAATATGTCATAGAAGACTGCTGAAACTCACGAAGGTTCTTCCATTGTTGAAGTCGTAACTTGTGAGTTGGTTAGATTTTGGTTTGGGTGTTAACGTTGAAATCACCAAATTTGATGAATGCTATTTACTTGTGAATTCTACTTTTCGGTAAAAATCAAATGCTAATCGGTTTGAGAACTGAAACTCTCTTTTTCGATCTTTCCGATAAACGCATTTGTCTAAATCAGAACAGAGCCAAGACACACTAGCCAGAACTAAAATTGAAACTGTATAGTTCCGACAATGCAGTCACTCTTCCAATTGTTTTCATATTATAAACCAAACGCTCACAAAACTGCATCATACTTTATATCATACAAAAAGAGCACAAAAGAAAATCGAAATCCAGTTCTATTTTACATTCACTTGAACCGGACAACACGTCATTTACGACGTGTAAACCACAACCAAACGCAGCCTAATAAAAAATATTAATAAAAATCATTAATGTTTATTATATATATATGTAGAAAATCTATGATGCAGAAAAAATATGGCATAGGAAGAGTTTTGACCAATCAAAATCCATTCATGAATTTTGATCAATAACACCTGATTGGCTACTAAGTTTATAATTTCAGTTTACTGATTAAAAGTTTTTCAGATATCATATCTTTTTTATATCATAGTCGAATCCATACATATAAGGTCCAAAACTTGCCACATTGTTTGTTCAGAGGATTGCGGTTTTCCACAATATTTTTTTTCCAATTTCACAAGGAGTATCAGTTTTTAACGCAAGTCAACTTAATTTTGTGTTTATCTCGCTCTGTTTCTCATTTCAAGAATGATGACTCTCTTGGTGAAATACATTCCCTCGCAGGGGTGTCAATTGGACTGGATTTGGTCCAATCCGATCCAGCCCAATGTGATTCTATTATAAATGGATCAGATCCAATCCAATCCAATGAATGTTTTGGATTAATTTGGACTGGTCCAATTCAATGTCTGGACCGTCCGATCTGTTCAAATTCATTTTGATTTAGATTGGTTTCAACCCAAACCCAATCCATTAACACATATTCTTATCTTATATCAATGGATTAGATATTGGCTTAATCCAACCCAATCCAATATAAATTTGCTATAGACAAATCAGATCCAATCCAATCTAATAAATATTTTGGATCAAATTGATCTAATCCAATATATCTTGTTGGTTCATTCAGTCCGTCCAAATTGATTTTGGACTGGACGAAGTCCAATCCAAATCCGGTCCATTGACACCCTTACTCGTAAGTCCAATACAGTTCTCGATGCGTATCAACAAGCAGTGAGCGAAGTTTTTTACATAAACGCGTTGGCAAATAGCTCAGTTTAGAATAAGCATAAATACAAGAGTGCAAATATCGTATATTGTATATTATTTTACATATATTTGTACTGTATTCCTTTCAAACTGAGACTTTAGTAATTTGACAATTTACCAAAGACATCATGTTCAAGAAAATTTGTGAACAATCAAGTGCTGTCATAAATGTATCAACCAATCACATGACATATATCAAAATTCATAGGTCGGTTTTTATTGGATAAAACTCTTCCTATATTATGTCTTTTTGGTATTATTGATTTTTTCTTTATTAAAATACTTTAATAGTTTGTAATTGAATTACTTAATTGACCTTCCATCCATTAGATGAAGTGGGAAATGACAATTTTAACTTTAACCTTAGTGTTTGTTTGAACAAATTTAATTCATATAAAACATATAGACGAAAATATCATTCTTGCTTCTATTAAAACAAGTTTTTTGATCGATTTTATTCTCTATTTGAAGAAGGAAGGCACATTGTTGTAAAGGGGTACTTATTTTATAAAACATATAAAATGACAATTTTATAGGGGTACTTATTTTAATAAAATACCATAAGCCCATGTCCTTGAACATTTTCCACTCAGTTTAGGCAAAGCTATTATGTCTACAATGTCAGTATAAATGATTCTTGATAGAAGATCAATTAAGTAAGGGGTTGTTTGGCAAGTCTTTTTGGGAGCATCTTCTGGTAGCTTTGACAGTCAAAAGACGCATTGAGATTTTGCATGAAGATCTGAGCAGCCCGAAGCTAGTTCGACTATCACACATCTTTTCGTGTGAGAAAGACGTGAAAAACTCTATTTGGAGCTTCCCGAAATCAGCCAAAAATGGATTTCTCGTATCTTTTTGGAGTCTAAATCAGTTGTCAAGTATGGGAGGTGTTTTAGTAAAACATAAACTATAAGACAAGTTTTAGTAAAATCATGAATTTAAAAACATGTATATATACATATGTATGCATGCAAATATAAGGTTATATACAAGGTTTTTAAAACCAGACTATATATATATATATAGTCCAATGATCGAAAATCCAAGCCCGACCTATGTAAGCATATAAACATTGTGGGCTGGATGAGTCCAGGCTCGGGTTGAACCTGCCCAACTAGCAACTGCCCAAGTCACACCCTTGTAATACTTTTTTTTGGTACTTAACATATAACACTTCAATCCTTGAAGGCCTGAACGAGTTCGACTTTGGTCAGGGCAACTATGTAAGCATTGCGGGCTGGATGAATCCAAGCTCGGCTGGAACCTGCCCAACTAGCAATTGCCCAAGTCACACCCATATAATACTTTTTTTAGTACTTAACATATAACACTTCGATCCTTACAGGCCTGAATGAGTTCAGCTTCGGTCAGGGCAACGCTCGTTTGAACAAATTGAGATCTACTCCTCATACAAAATGCCTCACAATGACCTCATAGGCGCATCCCACTGTACATTGAAAACATTTCCCATAAATAATAACACATAAGCATGAGAGATGTTCCCAATATATGGTGAAATGTGCTTGTAAGATCGATGTAAGGCACCGGGCAGATCCAATCTCTCTTGGAATAACTTTTATGACCTTATATTAGAAATATATTCGTAGTTAGGTACTTTTATTTCATAGGAGATATCCGGATGTTACAAATAGCTGTTAGAACGGTGTGAACTTCGCTTGCCCTGACCGAAGCCGATCTTGGCCTGAACCCATAGGTATCTGAATTCGGCTTCAATCAGTGCATCGAGCGTTCAAAAGAATGACACGCATCCGTAGGCGCGTGTCTATGCGTACGACGAGAAATCGGGTTTCAGTCGGTGCAAAATCCGTTCGTACAACTATTATAGCCTCTCATTGCAATATCTCTCCACGAAATAAAACAAAGTACGGAGATGTTCCCGATGCAAGGCTAACAGGCCTTGCACCGACTGAAGCCAATCTCGTGCGAACAAGCTAAACGGGCGTGCCGCCTATTTGCGTAGTGCGCCACGCAGCGAAGTGAGTAGTGCGCCACGCAGCTCACTACTGCAAGCATGTGCGTAGTGCGCCACGCAGCTCTCGTTCAGGAGAAGAGGGAGAAATGCAAACAAAACACACCGGTACAAAGATTCCACACCAATACAGCGAATATAAATATAGATCAATTAAGATAAGTTTCCGTCCGCCTCTCACTGAGTCACTGTCTCACTTCTGACTTTTTTTTCCCTAAAAAACTTGAAACTCAACTCTGACTTCGATTTGTGAATGTATTAGTTGATAGTTTCCGATCGAACTGCGAAGTGAGAACTGCTCAAACGATTTCTTTCCTTCTCTCTTTTAACCATCTATTTATTCCCTCATTTACATTTGAAGAATCAAAGCTTGACAAGTTAATCCAAACTTGTCCCCCGCCCTCAGGTTCTTCATAATTTGCCGTCTCTCCTTTTTCTTTCTTTCTTTTTTTTGGCACTTTGAATTTTGTTTGTTAGCAGTGATCTTCATTTAGACCTTCAATTTTGTTAATTAGGAATTTTGTTTCGAAGTAAACAAATTGAGCACGTCGATTTTAATAGACCGTGTGATGTAATAATTATGGATAGTAAATATGATTTGTTGTATAAGTTGTTTGCGTAAAATTCACGCAATTCTTAAAAGTTCTAACAAACATGAGTATGATGCCTCACGCTTGTCAAACGCCAATGTAGTATACCTGTGGCCGAGTTTAATACTTCAATTCATAGGTCGTGGTGAACTGTAACGTATATTGGATGTTTACTGCCTTATGGATCACAAGTTATATGTCTGCCTTCAGAATTGTTGAATTTGAACTTTCTTTGCTTGTGATACTTAGTGAAGAGGTTAGTAGATACTGAAATTTCTGATTTCAGGATACTGAACGTCATTGTTGGATCAGATTATCTCTATTGTTACCAAACATCTTCGAAGAAATTTTTGACATCATGTTTTTGTAACTTGGATTTTCTCAGAATAAGCTCTATCCTTACCTAACATCTAGGAAAATTGCAGGTTCCTCTTCCATTTTGTTATCTCCCGTTGAATGGGGTAGGGGGACTGAAATACTGGATCCAAATAGTTGGGATAAGTCTTGGTTTAGTGATTTGAGAATCGAGATGCCCTGTGGATATTCTTTGAGAAGAATTCTGCACCAGACTTGGGTTAAAAGCCAGTGTTTGCCAATTAACACTAACTTTCTTGTCTTCCATACATATCCCTGTGCGTGTATTGGACGGAGATAAGACTTAGGAGAGTTCCGAATCTATATGTTACAGGAGAGTCCCGGATCTGTATGTTACCTGCATTAGAAAGTCTTTTTATTTTGCTTTTCTTTTGGATTAGGAATTTATTTTTAAAAAGTTTTGGGAGGAAGGAACTCTAAATATCACCTTTCACTTCCAAAATTTTTTATGGTATCAAAGCACGCATTACTGTTCGCTGCGCGACCGACGGTTATCGGCTGCAGATCTTGTTCCGACCACAGTCTATTATCGACGACTCTGAAGCATTTATCTTCCCCCTCGCTTTTTGTATCGACTGTCTCACCTCCGTCGACACCTTGTCCAGCGCCGCAGGCTCTGTTCCCTCGTCGAGTTTCCTCGCGTTCACCACCGTCTCCGGGTAAAAAGGTTGTACTTCATCTTCTTCGGACGCTAGACCAAGCGCTCGTTTGATGCCTGCGACAATGTGTTCGCTAAAGAACCTGAAGCATCCGTTACATAGGACCATCAACTGCCGAAGAAAACCCCCGCCCTCTGGTTTCGGCGACGTGGAGTTGGGCAGCAAGTAAGCCCAAGCCGCATGTTTAACAAGACGGTTCTTTATCGTAATCTCATGCCAACTCTGGTTGCAGGTGAAATTCGGCGAATAAATCCCGGCCGCTGGAGATGGGGACAATAGGTCCTTCAAACTGGTATAGTTCGTAGATTTCAAGGCAACCATTTCGAGATAAGAAACAGATTAGCGAGAATTCTGAAGCTCTAATTGTTGGAATGCAAAAGGAGATACCTCGCTTTCCTGGAAGAGAGGCAAATTGTTGGATCTTTCCACAGTTTGTTCAGGTTTCAGTCTACTGTGTTCGCTCGAACTCCCGCTGCCAAGGAAGCTTCTCGGTCCTTCTTTAATTCAGGTTTCAGTCTACTGTATTCGCTCGAACTCCCGCTGCCATCGAAAGGAAGCTTCTCGGTCCTTCCGCTTCGACGACGCCTGGTTTTCGCTCGGCGTTGCGGGATCGGAGGAAACCAGGCAGGAGCTCGGGTTTGACTCGGAATCGGCGGGCTCACTTGTTCTGATTTCTTCGTGAGTTTCATTAGGATCGTCCATCTACGTGTTTCTTGCAATAATGAAGCAGCTCGGACGAATCTTGCTGATCGGTTACCATGACTGCCAACAACGAAAGGAACAGTGAGAGCTCAAGTAAGTCTGAATGGTGGGGTGACAGACCCCGCGGTACGTCGACTGGGCATGGAGCAGATCGAGGAAAAGGGGGTGGACCCTCTGGCGGATGTGACCGAGGTTCAGCAAAAACTCATGCTGCTCATTCATTGACAGGGCGTGAGGTGGCTGCTAATGCAGTCGTAACTGACGGAGATAGGACCAGACTGAACGACCTTAATGACGAGTAATGGCAGACTCTTAATGCTTACAAAACCAGGACTAATGAAAGACTCTCTAGTAAGAATTATTCCACTGAATGGATTGTTGACTCTGGGGCATCACATCACATGACAGGGAATTTAAATGTGCTCGTCAACACCTATGATGTTGCACCTTGTCCTGTTAGCTTACCCAACGGTGCACACACCGAGGCCGTGAAAGAAGGCACAGACTCTTGTAAGCATGCTTAATGCTTACAAAACCAGGACTAATGAAAGACTCTGGTAAGAATTATTCCACTGAATGGATTGTTGACTCTGGGGCGTCACATCACATGACAGGGAATTTAAATGTGCTCGTCAACACCTATGATGTTGCACCTTGTCCTGTTAACTTACCCAACGGTACACACACTGAGGCCGTGAAAGAAAGCACTATTGAACTTGGAAATAATTTTAAATTGCTGCACATATTATATGTCCCAAAACTCAATTGTAATTTATTGTCAATAGGTCGGTTACTTCGTGACAAATTGTATTGTGACGTTTACTAATAAGTTGTGTGTGATACAGGACCGCATCTCGAGGACTCTGATTGGTGTGGGTGAACAGCTTGATGGGGTCTATGTCTTCAAGGGTGTGGCGCCGGTCCGTGCTTACAAGACAGATGGAATTGGATCATGTGATTTGTGGCATTGGAGATTGGGACACCCTTCTTATCAAACGGTTAGTTCGCTTCTTAATATCAGTAATAGTAAGAACAAAACCTGTGATGTTTGTTTGAAGGCAAAGCAAACTAGGGATGTTTTTATTCAAAGTAGCAATAAAGTGACCAATTGTTTTGTTTTGATTCATTTTGACTTATGGGGTGCTTATAGAGTACCTGCATCTTGCGGTTTGGATTTCTGTGCAATGATTGAACGACAATTCAATAAGAAGGTTAGGGTGGTGAGAAGTGATAATGGAACAGAGTTTAAATCCTTGAAATCATATTTTGAGGAGCAAGAGATTTTATTTCAGACTTCCTGTGTTGGAACACCACAACAAAATGGTCGTGTGGAGAGAAAGCATAGTCATATCTTGAATGTGGCCAGAGCACTCAGGTTTCAAGCACATCTTCCGATCAATTTTTGGGTGAGTGTGTTTTGACCGTAGGGGACACCTTTGACCCTTCTTGGTGGTAAAACACCTTACGAGATGCTGTTTGGACAAAGTCCTTATAAACATCTCAGAGTTTTTGGTTGCTTGTGTTTTTCGCATACACGGGACCGTGACAAATTTGCCGCTAGGAGTAGGAAATGTGTCTTTGTTGGGTATCCTTTTGGGAAAAAGGGATGGAAATTATACGATCTTGAGTCTGGTGATTATTTCGTCTCACGAGACGTGGTGTTTAGTGAGGTCGAATTTCCCTTTACCACTCCGGAACATCAACCCTTAATAACCAGTCCTCCCGTAGCCAAAGAAAACGTTGGGTTGCCTTGGGCCACTCCTCCTGACATGGTATCTGAGTCACCTCATATAGAAGTTAGGGGGAGCGACACGATCAATGAAGAAGTACATCAAAACACGGGTAATGATGAGGAGGCAGGTCCTCATATAGAAGTCAAGGGGAGCGACACGATCAATGAAGAAGGACATCAGAACACAGGTAATGATGAGGAGGCAAGTCCTCTTGATGAGACAAGGAGCCATGTAGCTTGCAGAAATAATGAAACTCCAGCTACTTCTCAGCCCACTACAGAGTTATTAGGCCGCGGACATCGAGAAAAGCGACCCCCCAGCTATTTACAAGACTTTGTCACACACTCTGCTCGTCGTTTAGACCCCTCCGCTGTTTCTCCTGCATCATCTCAGTCCTCAGGTACTCCTTATCCCATAACTAATTATGTGACGTATGATAATTTTTCTGTGAAACACAGACATTTCTTGGCAGTTGTTACTGCAGGCCGATAACCTACTCGTTTCTCTGAGGCAATGACTGATGCTCGGTGGTGCGAGGCTATGCGCCAAGAGATATAGGCTTTGGAAGACAATGGGACATGGACCTTGGAAGACCTCCCACCTGGAAAAAAGGCAATCGGGTGTAAATGGGTCTACAAAATCAAGTACAACTCTGATGGATCCATTGAAAGATTTAAAGCACGGTTGGTAGTCTTGGGCAACACTCAAGTTGAAGGTCTTGATTACAACGAGACCTTTGCCCCTGTGGCTAAAATGGTCACAGTTCGAACCTTCTTAGCAGTTGTTGCGGCCCAACATTGGGAATTGCATCAGATGGATGTCCACAATGCTTTTTTGCACGGTGATTTTCATGAGGAGGTCTATATGAAACCTCCTCCAGGTTTTTTGGCCTCCGGGACTGGAAAGGTATGCAAACTCCGAAAATCTTTGTATGGTTTGCGGCAAGCCCCTCGGAACTGGTTCTCTAAGTTAGGTGCTGCCTTGAAAACTTTTGGGTTTGAACAGTCTGGTTCCGATTATTCCTTATTTACATATCGCAAGAATGGGCTTGTCTTGCACGTCCTGGTTTATGTTGATGACTTGATCGTTGGTGGGAATAACCCAGAATTCATACACAAATTTAAGCAGTATATGAACTAGTGTTTTCACATGAAGGACTTGGGTGTTCTTAAATATTTTTTGGGCATTGAAGTGACTCGCAGATCCTCGGGGATATTTCTTTGCCAAAGAAAATATGCACTTGATATTATTATAGAAACTGACTTATTGGGGTCCAAACCTGCTCCCTTTCCTATTACTCAGAATCATAAACTTGCCCTTGCGACGGAGCACTCCTGGATGACCTTGAACGATATCGACATCTTGTGGGCTGGTTGATTTATTTAACCATTACGCGGTCGGAGCTCAGTTATTGCATCCATGTCCCGACTCAATTTATGCAATATCCTCGTGTTGATCATTGGGATGCGGCATTACGTGTGGTTCGTTATCTGAAAGGACGTCCTGGTCAAGGAATATTTTTGCGCTCTGATAGTGATCTGCAATTATATGCCTATTGTGATTCCGACTGGGCGAGTTGTCCTCTAACTCGTCGCTCTCTTACTGGGTATTTTGTCATGTTAGGACATTCCCCCATCTCCTGGAAGACTAAGAAACAACATACTGTCTCCCGTTCCTTTGCCGAGGCTGAATACCGGTCAATGGCCACTACCAGTTGTGAGTTAAAGTGGCCAAAAGGTCTGTTATCATCTTTGGGTATATCTCACCCTCAGCCTATACGCTTGTTTTGTGACAATCAAGCTACTTTGCACATTGCCGCGAACCCTGTTTTCCATGAACGAACAAAACATATTGAAGTTGATTGTCATTTCATTCGCAATGAGCTCCAAGCTGGCACGCACCTGCCTTTATATGTATTGGTGAACAACTTGCCGACATTTTCACCAAGGCTCTTGGACAAAAACAGTTTGATTCTTTCCTTCCCAAGCTGGGCATTCGCAATCCTCATGCACCTCCTTGAGGGGGAGTATTGGACGAAGATAAGACTCAGGAGAGTCCCGGATCTATATGTTACAGGAGAGTCCCGGATCTGTATGTTACCTGCATAGTTAGGAAGTCTTAAGAAGTCTTTTTGTTTTGTTTTTCTTTTTGGATTAGGAATTTGTTTTTAGAAAGTTTTAGGGAGCAAGGAACTCCAACGTTTGTATATAGATATCATAAGGTATCAATGGAAAAGACACACCTTTGGCTTACAAAATTTTTCAGCATGAGAAAAGTAGAAGGATGATAAATAATAAAAAGAGAAGAAATGAAAAATAACTGACATATACCCGAAAAGATTTAGAAATTAGATTTTCTTTATGAGTACATAAAAAGATGAGAAAATATTTTGTTGATGACAGAGTATGTAGTTCTAGAGAGTAGATTTATTGGGAACAAACTTATTAATTTAAGATGTTTTCTTATGATCTATCGATTTACCATTTATGTATCATCTTGCTAAGCTATTTCTATCTTACTTCTCAAATCCTTCCCATTAATTATAGGTTGGACTTGGGATGCTAGTAGCGTTTTGAGATACGAATAATAGAAATGAAATTGACCCCAAGAGAAGTTGAGAAATTAGCTCTGCACAATGCTGGATTCCTTGCACAAAAGCGTTTGGCTCGTGGCCTTAGGCTCAATTCCACTGAAGCAGTAGCTCTAATAGCAACACAGGTATTGGTGCAGAATTTATATTATTTTTCTTCATAAAGAGGATAATTCACTTCCTAGGAATTTGTAGTCTCCTAAGTGGTTCACATTTTTTTTTTTTTTTTTACAATGAGAAATTGGAGAAATCTTATTTCTGTTTTGAAACCTCACCCATCCATGAATACATGTAGATTGCTATATATCTATATAAGTTTTGGACATTTTAAGCTGCAAGATCTTCTTTGGATATTGACAAGCTTGCTTTCTATCACAATTCATGAAATTTTGGCTGATAGAATTAAAAAAGATGAGCCACAAATTGTAGAAAGATATCTCATTATACATCATGTGTATATAGATTATTCTATTATTTAGAGAAGTTTTACTTGATTCTTGGTTGTGAAGAGGAAAAGAAAGTTATACCTTGTCTTTATTTTGTATTTGCAGATTTTGGAGTTTGTTCGAGATGGTGATAAAAGTGTTGCAGAGTTAATGAACATAGGAAAACAACTTCTAGGAAGGTGTGTGAAATAAGTATCTAATTTTATTTAACCCCTTTCCTAGAAAGAGCATTAGCTAGTATGTCTGCTAATCTGAGGACCTAATCAAAAGAATGGTTCAGACAAAGCTAACGATCCTGCTTCCTTACTCTATGACAATACTAGGGATGGCAATTTTCCCCATCCTTGCTAGGTACCTGACATCCCCAGCCTGGTAGGGACGGGGTTGGAGATTGCCTTGGTGGGGACAAGGACGGAGATGAGGAGTGAAGTCCCTGTCCTTCCCTGACCCCGATTATGTATATTAAATATATGTGTATATATATATTATATTAAACATATAATTTTATTTATATTATATATATCAAAATATTTTAAAATATTATTTATATTTTAAAATTTCCTTTATTTTAAATGAATATTTTTCCAAAACACATATTTAATTAAAAAATTAGGGGATTTGGGCCCCCGATGGGGATCGAGGTTGGGGACGAGTATGGTTCCTGCCCCATTGCCAATCACTCAACCAACTGATATTTCTGTCAAAAAAAAGTTGCCGATAACTGTTTGTGGGTCCACTTTTCTCACTAGTTTCCTATGACTCATGTAGCAACCCAATTCTCTGACTACTAAATAACCATGCTTTTATTAGAACTTTAAAAGTATGTTTTACACCGTAAGTGTGCCAAGCATCCCTTTTTTGTAGGCCAGTCTCCTACTTACCCCTCTGTCTCCCGATCTAAATTTATCTCCCTTCAAAATAACTGAGTCCTATAGTTTCCTTGTCTAGACAAGCAGATATCATTGTGTTAGCACTCGTAGATGTCCAATGAAAGGTGGCATCTAGTTCATCTGCCAAATGTCTAATCTCTCATATATGATACATCTATTGCCAAGTTCCCTTCATGTTGTGTATAAACCAACTTACCACTACTTTTGAGTCCCCATCCACCATGATATGTGTTAGTGGTGTTAGTGAAGGGGTATTTCAGTCTTTGTACTTGTTGAGAATGCTGATGTGTACTGTTATGTTAGTTCGAGTGCCTCTTACTTAAAGAAGGGCACTCAAGTCTTTTTCAATAAGTCAATAATATAATAATAGGTCTGGCCGAATCAAGGGATTAACTTTTTTCCCTAATTCGAACCAGCTCTTCTCTCTTTTCTTCTTTCCTCTCCTACTTCTTGCTGTCTACTTTACTCTACAGTCAACGAACAAGACAGAATTCTATGGCAGGTCAAACTTCAACAATATGTTTGTCTTTAAGTTTTCTGGTTAATATTAACCCATGTAGTTAATGGGATTGAATTCAGACGATTGGATATGATTTGTGGCCCTACAAATAGACTAATCTTCAAAGCACTAAGGTTTTTATCTTTTTTTTTTCTTTTGTATTTCTTCATGAGGGTTGATTAAGTCACATCCCAATTTTGGTAATATTAAAGTTGAAATTTGGTCGAGGGTGGGCCTCGGTGCAACGGTTGGGTTGCTCCATTGCAACTTGGGTGACTAGGGCTCAAATCTTGGAAACACCTCCTTGCATGTGCAAGGGTAAGGCTGCATACATCTATTCCTCCCCAGACCCTGCATTGGTGGGAGCCTTGTGCACTGGGCTGCCCTTTAAAGTTGACATTTGGTTGCAAGTTATTCAAATCTAGGGGCAATTTGGTCACTCTATCAATTTACCACTTCTTTTTTTGGACAAATCAATATGCCCTTGTAGAATCTCCACTCATTAGGTCACGTATATTAGTACAGTTCCTCACTATATTGGAATTGGGTGCCACTTTTTGTACCCTTTGGCATATCTATAGATCATACTTTAACTTCTTCAAAGAAATAAATAAATAAAAAGCTCAAATCAATGTTGTCAGACTTGTACTTGATACAAAACCATTTGGGTCACCGGGTCGTAAGTCAAATTGTCCAACTGTCCAATTGTTCATCTCACTCATATAAAAATGCAAAATAGACAATTTAAAAAATGGAAAATAATTCATTGTTATCTTTAAAAGCTATTTATATCAAAAGAAGCTTAAAACAATAAGGTATTAATGAATGATGTTGTCAAAATCTTAGACTTATGATATGCTTAAAATTTTGAATCATGAATCCCAAGGGTTTCTATTTGAATCTAATGTCTGAATAAATAATCTTACATTTTTATTTGAAACGTACAATTTGATTCATAAGTCTTACAATTTTTTTGTTTATATTTAGTTTTGTCAAGGGAGACTTTTTTAAAGCCCTTGCTAGAAAATGATTATTGTATGTGGATTTATTTGACTTTGAAGTCAAACTTGATTATATGATCTTAGGCTTCTATTGTATAAGTGGTAAATTCTATTGTTTTAGGTACATATATGGTAGATATAGATTAAAAATAGGGTAAAATCACTTTCCTATATATAGCCTTTTAATATATCTATATTTAATTTTTTGACAAGTTTGCAAAAAGTAGAAATAATCTTACTTACGATATGATTTATGATTCTATTCGATTCAAATTTCTCTATGATTTACAATACAATTACAATTTTTTATTGATAATATGATTATGATTTTCAAAACATTGTTAATGAACTAATTTGAGGTAGGCTTGACCAAGACAACATTTCTAAGAACCAGGCAGCCTAAAAGCCATTTTGGCTCCCAGTTCATGGTTTTGATGGTCCAGCCATTCAGTCCAGTCCAAATCTGACAATACTGACCAGAACCAACTTGATTGTGATTTTTTACTATATTTTTAATATTATACATTGTAGTCCAAGTTCTGTGTTGCAATCAATCTGGCATCGGAATTGCTTCAATTTAAAATCTGAAATATGTTTTTGTTTATCACCAGGAGGCAAGTTCTTCCAGCTGTTCCACACCTTTTGGATGTTATCCAGGTAAATATTGTGGTTAAAATTGAAATTTCCTTGGAATTGATCAGGAGGATATGCATATTAATTTTTAGTACATAGGAAGCCACGACCTTGTTTTATTTTGAAATATATTATCCATCTAAAATAACCATTCCCAGAGCTAGTCTTATATGGCTACTACATTCTGAGATGAATTATCCTTCTAAGTGAATCACATGCTTCTAAATCATTCAATTAGTGAATTTCAGCCTTTTTTCCTCACTTAGGTTGAAGGGACGTTTCTAGATGGGACAAAGTTAATCACCGTTCATGACGCTATTGCCAGTGAAAATGGAAACTTGGAGTTGGCCTTGCATGGTTCCTTCCTTCCAGGTAGAGAATGACTATTATTTGTTAAACTTGGGACTATAATATGGTATAGTTTACTTGATGGATTTTTTATCACAAAGTACAAAGAAAATGTGACTGATCAGAAAGTATGTTCTCATATCAAATTTTTTATCTATCGTCATTTTCACATGAATGTTTAAAGATATAAAATGCTACTAGAAAAAAACTCTTCAATTCATATAACTAAAACAATTTGTATCAGATTCTTATGTGAAGCTATCAATGGATAAGATCACAATCTGGTTCATTGGATTTAGCTGGATTCCGGTATTAGGTAGAAAATCCATTTAAAAGCAGTAGATTGAATGTTGGTATATATCAATATTCTTTATCTAATCTTATTAACATCTAATCCTATCTTCCATATGGTGACATGGTTTAGGCCCAAAAGTGTCCAAATATGATTTAATAGGTAGGGAAAAGTCTATTCCTCTGTTGACTCTCCATGGCTCCGTCTACCTGTTGTCATGATGACATTTATAACTTTTTAGTTAATATTTCTATTGCTAAAAACTTAAAGAGAATTGTCCTACCAACCCTTAGGTCCCAGTTATACATTTTGTGTGTTACTTATCCCTTATTTAAGGAATTTTCGTACATTAGATACCTTATTTGTCTGAACTCTATTAATTGACTATTTGTTGAATAGTTATATTCAAATTGTAACATGGCTGAGAAATATGATTTGATGTTCATGAGAGAACTTCAATTATGCAGTTCCTTCACTAGACAAATTTTCGGGAAAAGATATTTGTACAAGTCCTGGTGAAATAATTTATGAAGTTGGAAATATTACACTTAATGCCCATCGGAGAGCAGTGATTCTTTTAGTTACCAATACTGCAGACAGGCCAGTTCAGGTTTGTATCTATGTTTTATGGTTCCTTATCTACTGTTTCTGGCATCAATTTTTCTTCTTTTCTGGTAATGCTGCACTTTTTGTAGTTTATGGACTCTTAAGTTCTTGTTTTATTTCCCAACAGCCAACTCAATTTAACAAAATCTTAAAATAAAAACTTAAGAGTTAACAAAATAAGATGGACCAAAACTTAAGATTTGCATAAAATAGTTAACAAATAGCTTTGTTGATTTATGAAAATGAAGGAGTTATATACAAACTGTTTGGGTTGGTTGGCTTGGCATGATTCATGGGCTTTCACACATATATCAAAACACACAAAGTTAAGAAGGCCATATTTGGTACAAAAAATGAAGAAAGCTAGCAGGCCTTCCATTAAGCTGTTATAGCTAAAAATCATCTTCAAGATATGCATCCAAGTGAATATCTTCACAGAAAACTGGGAATGATAAATCTGGTAAAGCCAGGTTGGGTTAAGTTGCTTACATTAAGTCATCCCAAAAAGGTCCTTGGTTGCATTCTGGATATTTAGAGAAATCAGGGAAGGTCAAACTCGGAAATACCAAACCCATATTGTCTTGCTGGTTTAAGGAATTAACTGAACTGATGCATCTTGTCTGCTGCTAGTTTAGGGAATTTCTCTTTCATTGTATAAAAATGATTAGTGAATTCAAGATGATTATTTTTTCCCTTAATGAATTCAGATTGGAAGTCACTATCATTTCATTGAGGCAAACCCATATTTGATTTTTGATCGTAAGAGAGCATATGGCATGCGCTTGAACATACTAGCAGGAACAGCTACTCGATTTGAGGTTGGTATCTCAATTCATCAAAATTGTAGAGACTGCATCTTAACAGAGTTTTCCCACAGTAACTTGTTTTTTGGTTTTTATATTTTTTAGTTTAACTCTACTTTATAATTTTCCTTCCAGTTGAACGCTCAGTCTGTGATAGCCTTTTCATAGCTTTATCTTGTACCAAAAGAATGGCTGTAGATTCAGCTGTGCCATGTAGATTGGGTTTCAGCTGTTTTGTTTTTTAACTGTTCTTTTCTTTGCATTTTTGAATTTTATCTATGAATTTATTTTGCTAGCCAGGGGAAACTAAAAGAGTTACTCTTGTAAGCATTGGAGGCCATAAGGTGATCAAGGGTGGAAATGGCATTGCTGATGGTGCTGTTGATGTTTCCCGGATTGCAGAAGTGATGAAAGCTGTACATGATAGGCAGTTTGGCAATGCAGAAGAAATAGAAGCTAGGTCTGGAAAATTCACACGAGTTTATGTGGTTTTACTTTCCTTTTGTATAAGGGCATATACCCCTCCCCTACCCCACCCCACTCCCCCAAAAAAAGGAAAGCAAAGAATGAAGGCATTGAGAAAAGGAGAAAAATGGAAATAAAAGGAAATATAGATTCTTGATATTAAAAGTTTGGTTCTGCAGGGAAGGTGTTACCGGAGAGGATCCTGACCTTACCACCATAGTTTCTCATGAGACCTATGCCAACATGTATGGACCTACAATTGGTGATCGAATACGGCTTGGTGACACTGAATTATATGCAGAAATTGAAAGGGACTTCACCATGTACGGTGATGAATGCGTATTTGGAGGTGGAAAAGTTCTGAGGGATGGAATGGGGCAGGCTTCTGGACATCCTTCATCTGATTGCCTGGATACTGTCATCACAAATGCTGTGATTGTTGACTATACAGGAATATATAAGGCAGATATTGGAATAAAGGGAGGATTCATTATATGCATTGGGAAAGCAGGCAACCCAGATGTCATGGATGGTGTATCATCTAATATGACAATAGGGGTGAGTTCCACATCATCTTAATTATCAAAATCCTAATCTTTTGACATTTCTAAATAAATCTTAAAATTTGCAATTCTATTTGATTCATACTTCTAAGATTTATGTTGCCTATTAGTTTCAGAACATTGATCATCACAATGAAAATGGTTGTATGAGTTTTATGGTTATGTCTATTCTGCCTGATAGTGGAACTTCTTTACATTTTTGTTTCCTTAATTTCAGGTCAACACTGAGGTTGTTGCTGGAGAAGGAATGATTGTAACTGCAGGAGCCATAGATTGCCATGTCCACTTCATATGTCCTCAATTGGCCTATGAAGCAATATCAAGTGGTGGGACTTCTATCTGATTATAAAGTATTTAGATGTAAAATATTTGGTGGAAGTTTATTCATTCTAAATCCATTCTAATTTCTGAATAAAAAAAGGTTCAACAAAGAGGAAATATATTTTGCTTCTCCTTAAGCATATCAAGGACTCATTATTTGGTGAACTGTTTTAAGTCTTGGATTGACAAGTGTAGGAAAATAGATTTAAGTATGAGAGCAGCCACTGACAAAGGTTAGGTCCACATACAGTCCACCCTATTGCCCAAAGGCTGAACCCAGGGGGAATGAATGGGGTACTACAAACAGTTTTCACCTAAGGTCTCCCTATTTTTGTGAGTGTGTGAGAGAATGTAAATGTTGTGTTGTAAGATAACTAATGTAATGTAGTAGATATACAGAAGTAAAATGCAAGAATAGTGAACACAAGAACACTAAGCATTTATAGAGGTTCAGCTCTTCCAGCCTGCGTCCTCTCCCCAGGCATACACCCAAGAATTTTCCACTAAGCCAGTTGGACTTCTGGATTCCAACAAAACATTTATACCAGTTGTATTTCTGGGTACCAACAAAACCTTTACAACAGTTGCACTTGTGGCTGTTAACAAGACCTTTAATAGACTTATGGGTGCTATCCAAATCTTTCACAGCTAGCAAATCACTAGCTATACAAACACAGATATAATATGAACAATGTAAGTACAAGTGAATGCAATGCCTTTCAATAGGTTGATATAACAATACAAACAAAACTCAGTATGTAAGAAAGCACAAGGAATGCTTGGGCTCAATAGAGCCTTTTGGGATTCACTCAAATCTTGTTTTTTTTTATCTCACTCAACACCTTCAAGAACAAGGGTTTTTCTCTCTTTTCAGCTTATGGGAAGATCAATAGATCCATCTTCTTGTTTCCCCATGTTTCCCTCTTCTTTTTCTTGCTAAACTCTGTGAATCTCACTTCTTTTTCTTGAGTTCTTTCTCATTCTTCAAGATTTTATATCTAGGGTTTATAAGAGAGCAATATGACTATTTTAAGCCGTTAAATATTGACTAATCCTCTATCGAAATGTTTTCGAGATGATTTCCAAGAAGTTTCAAAGCTTACTGGAAGAGGAAAAAGCCATTGTAGTTCAAACAGTCAAAAAAGAGAGTGGTCAAGTAAATTTTGTGTGAAGTAGTTGACTACTACATGCTTTCAAAAGCTGATTGTCTCAAGTAATCGACTACTACCTCTTATTAGTCGACTACTAGAGCCTTTCTAGATCTTGGCTGTCACTATCAATTGACTAATGACTACTAGGATTAGGTAGTCAACTACTTGCTACAGATAGACCTAGAATTCTCAAGTAGTTGACTCCTAAAGCTAGGGAGTTGAATCCTTAGGCTCCCAAAGACTGAAACTTGATTTTCTAAGCAACGTACTTGATATTTTACTTGATTAAATGTTTAGGAAAATTGCCCAAGGCCCTTCCTATGCTAACCATTGGTCTCTAAGTTTTGGGGTTAACGGTTAACCAAGGTAGGTCTATATTGAGCCCTTCCAATGCATAAGCATACTGATTGCATCAAGTTTCTATACACAAAGTCTCATAATGCTCTTGAACTTGATCTTTCTCATCTTCCTTGAGAGGAATCGTCAATTTCTTATTCAACTTCACTCAAATGCAAGAGAGCTAATGAATTATCTGTACAGTTGGATTGCATTAATATTCTAAATGAGTTTGTTATCATCAAAATACATAGGGTCAACACACCCTTCCTAGGACCCCAAATATCTGGAGCCAAAATTGGAAAATGGCCTTTTTTGCTCTTCAGGAATGTGAACAGCTCTAAGATTGTCTGGATTAGAGTCAATCAGGGACTGACCCAATAAGATGCTTATATAGATCCAGAATTGATCCAAACCCTATTGGGTTTAAAGGCAACTGGTCCAAAATTGACTTGTTCACTTATCAGGCTCATTGTGTCTTATATAAGTTAGTTCCATCTGTTCAAAGCCAAAGCCCTGACAAACATTCAAGCAACCGAAAAGGAAAAAAGACTATTTTAGAAGTGAACATGTTTACTAACATCAGTTGGATTGATTTAAATATAAATTTATTTTTTGTTTTTCTTTTGGGGGGGNGGGGGGGGGGCAGCAATTATGACCTGTTTCTGTGGGGCACTGGGAACAAATTCTTTCATATATACAGTCTAAACAAGACAAAATCATCCCAAGAAATCCACACATTCAGAAAAGAGAATGGAGCCAGAAATTTAACACCCACCACTGGAGACACCAAATTTGAAGAATTAATCAATTTGAAAGAAGGAAAATCAAGGGAATAAAAACAATGTACTTTTTGATTTACCTACTTCAGATAAATGCTACATAGGCACATCACGGACACAATAAAAACAATGTTTTAGACAGATATAAATTGAAATGTCAGAGATATTGGACCCTACGTAGAAGTATGCATCCATGTAACATAGACCTCAGATTTTCCTATTAAAACACTGCCTCATAGACCTCTTGCTTCATTCAACAAGTCCACAGTTGGATCCATGTGTGTCATAGAATCAAATGTGTTTCCATCTAGGCAGAAGTCTCCATCCTATTCAGCTTCAAAGAGAGGATTAGGTTTATCTATGGGGAGAAATCCTAGTAACTTAAACTTACCATCCTAGGCTTCTCTTAGCACTCTTTCTAGATGACTTAATGAAGTGAATATAAAGATGGATGTATTTATCCTAAAAATTATGAACTATATATCTATACTACTTTATCAAGCAAAACAACCTATCCTAAATTTCCAATGAGGCTGACTCATATCTTGATTCTTGACAATTTTCCAGTTACTACCCATACCTAGAAGTCTGAAACTAAAAACTGATGACAATTTCATAATTCTAAATATTAAGATTGATTTTTAAGTTATTTGGAAACCTACCAAAAATAACTGCAAGGAAGTTACCACTACATTTTTATATCTTCAAATTTCTCTCAAGTATTCTTGTATGTGCGGTGCTGCAATTACCCTATAGTTATCTGGTCAGACCATTGTCAAATCAGATCAGGATGACTGTAGTACTGATCCTATGGTCCAGACTCACTATGCTGGACCAGTACCTTGTCTCAGATTCGTAGTTGTAGGGTGAGACTGGATTCAAACTTTAAGGTAATCCCAACCTATTGACATCCTTGATCCCATACAATTTACAAAGGCCAACCTGTTTGATAATACAGACTAAATTTGATCAACACGTGCAGTTAGTTTTCATGTGTGCCACCAAAACTCAATTAAACTCTAGTGTCAAATGACCATAGTTGTTAAGGCAACACCTAGGCAATAAGATGCCAATGGAGGGTCACCTCATATAATTGCCAAGTTAATTTGTACATGTTGCTATGAAATGCTTTTATATTCTTAATTTTTTAAGATTATAATAATAAAATAGACACTATTGAACTAAAATATTCATTTTGTGGGTTTATATACTAGTTGCTTTTTATAATTTTCTATTTGTTAGGGTTCAATGAACACAAATGTTGGCGTATGCTGTTGTGAACAATCAAAGACTTCAAATCCTGAACAGCAAGGAAGAACTTAAACTTTTGCCAATCAGCACATTCTTCTTTTCCCAGGACAAAAACAGGGGCTCAGCCCCTATATTTTATATCTTTCTTTTCTTCCTTCGTTTTCCTCTCATGAATATGTTGATTTTCTATATCTTAATATGGAGTTAATACATTTTTTATGAAGATTGTAAATAGTTATTAATGAAAGATGGTTGCCAGTTGCTTTGGAACCTACAGAACTACCGCAGGGATTCATGGTTATTATTAAAAAAAAACCATTGCCTAGGAGACTAGGCAACAAGGAACTCCCCCCGTTGGTTAGCCTTGCCTTGGCACCTTGAAAACCATGCAAACAATTTACTTAGTTTGATTTGGAGCAATATAAATTACTTGTAGCATGTGCCCTGTTAGGCTTCTATTCAAGCTAGTGGAATTCTTCAGTCTAGAGTTGATAGAAATTGAGGATATAGAAAATGGAACTCACATTTAGACGAAAAATTTCCAATATTGGAATTCATTGATGCCTTCTGATCTCAAGCATTGGCTTGTTTTATCCTTTAGCCAAATATGGTAAATTATTGAATGAAGTAATCAGAATGGTTCAATAAATATTTTAAGCTTTCATAATCAATGAAGGTATTACGACATTAGTGGGAGGAGGAACCGGACCTGCAGATGGGACACGTGCAACAACTTGTACACCTGCACCATTACAAATGAAACTTATGCTTCAGTCAACTGATGAAATGCCACTCAACTTTGGCTTCACTGGGAAGGTCTCTCTCTCTCTCTCTCTCTCTCTCTCACACACACACACACACACACACAAAACAACACCAAAAGAAACCCTATTTGGACTACCTGGGTTGGCTACATAAATCCTGTTAGTTCATCACTGCCTAAAGTTGGAAGGTTAGAACTGAAAATTTCCCATTTTCCTTTTTTTCTCTCTGTTATGGACTGGGGTTTTCTTTTCAAGGGGAATAGTGCCAATCCAGATGGATTGCCTGAAATAATCAGGGCAGGAGCAATGGGTTTGAAGCTGCATGAAGATTGGGGAAGTACACCTGCTGCAATAGACAATTGTCTAAGTGTTGCAGAAGAAAATGACATCCAGGTATCAATTTTTCATATTTTATAATGATTTTTGTTCTGTCATGTGATCTCTTTAGTTGATTCTCAATTAATTTTTGACAGGTCAATATCCATACTGACACCTTAAATGAATCTGGATGTGTGGAACACACAATTGCAGCTTTTAAAGAAAGAACTATCCATACTTACCACAGGTAAGATTGTTGAACTTCCGTTTTTTTTGCATAACTGTGTTTTATATTTAAACCTTAAAGTCTTCAATGAGTTTATGTATTTTATCTGTACAGCAGCTTGTTTAAAGTTGAAACAGATTTGTGGGGTGCTACTATTATATTCTAACACCATGGAGTTCTGTTTCTTTGTTGCATGCATGATCATTAATCAATGGCAATACAGTTTATTTTATTATGCAACTAAGGCTTGCACTAGACTCAAATGAGTTCACCTTGGGTTACTAATGCTTAATTTTGAACTAGGCTTGCAATACTGTGGGTCTGAGACAACTTGGATGGGAGTAGTATCAACACAATATAATTATGAAAGGGACAGTTTTGTAATTTCTCATCTTTTTACATTAGGATGCATTTGGTAAGAGTGCAATTGAAAACATGTACAGTTCATAAAAATAAGCTTGGTTTGGTTTTGCGTTGACAAATTTTGTATTCTTACCAATGGTTGTGATAGTATTTGGGTACGGACACAAATTCCAAGACTGGAATGTACCTTTTTTACATTGACCAACTTTGGATGCAGGCATTTAGAAGCAAACTTTGCTCTTGTTTTGGATGCAAACATGTCAGAAAAAAAAAAGAAAAAACAAATTTGTTGTCATTTTCAATACAAAAATGTTTTCTTACCAAATGCCTGCAAAACTGAACCGGGGTGCAAATTCACTTCAGCTCAGCATTTGCACACCAAACACAGCCCTTAAGTACAAATAGTTCAGAATAGTCTGCAAAACCAATTCTTGTCTCTGTAAACATTCATCTTCCCCCCCCCCCCCCTGTTATTATCATTGTTGTTGGTGGTGTTGGTGTTGTTATTGTTATAGTAGGTTCTGTAAAACTGATACTGACCTTAGCACAGGACACCTGCTGATATCAGCAGGTTGCATGGATGATTTTATGCAAGTTTCTTATTGGTCACTCCATTATGAAGAAAAGCATAGATTCCACTAGAGCATGGATTATAGAATTTATTGCTAATCTATTTGGGATGATTTACTGATATGAATCATGCAGTCAATTGAAAATTGAAATACATTTAGTGGATCCAGACCATCATAAACATCAAACTGGATTGAGTTTTTACCTGGGGGGCTCCTTGTGAATGCTATTGATTACATTGTGGGCAATCCACTATTCCACTTCATTCTGACTGCATAATAGAAACCTTTTACCATTTCTCTTTTGCCAAGGGTTTGTATTTTTGGCTTTCCCTCTCTTGGGACTACAGATCTCCAATTCTCTAGGAAGCTTAAGGTCTTTTGTTATTTATATGTGTTAGCGTAGGGGTATTTCTGTCTTTATACCTTGATTAATGTTGCTGATCTGTAATGTTGTGTTGGACATAGGTCTTTTCAGTCATGTTTTAATAATAATATAAATACTTACTGGCCGACTGGGAGAAGTCTAGTTAACTCTTTCAATTCGAACCAGAATTCTCTCTTCTCTCTCTCTCTCTCTCTTTATCACCTTTTCTTCTTCTACATAACTGAACTCAGTCAGGCCGAACTCTAAGGCAGACCTGAATTATATCATGGTATCAGAGCCAGGTAAAATCTGCCTAGATTTCTGCTTGCCTAGGGTTCATTCTCTGCGCACCCTATCTAGGGTTTTCCTCTTTTTTTCTGTGTTCGATTGGAGATAAGGGAAAGGGCTGAAAAGGAGTGATCGCCCTCTT